CAGAGCTGTAGCAGCACGCTGCCTCGCTCAACCCCCTTTCCGTGAAAGCTACCAGTAAACAGTAACACCCCGTGTATGCATCTCATTAAAAGTTCCACATGTTAGTATTCTAAAAGGCGACATTATTCTGATTTTTGTACGTGTATTAAATCTGGCATCTTCCGCAGTGAGCGCCCGTGCCACGTTACCTGGTCTGCCTGCGTCTTCGGACCCGTTCCCGGCCCACGCAGACTCGGCCTCCAGCAGTCGGTTTTTCGACTCACTAAGCGGTTTGACAGGGAAGGGCTGGTTTGAGCCAATACTGCAAAGAAGGGTAAATAATTTAGTAAATGGTTGAACGCTCAATTACGAATATTCGATTAATAAGCAGCAAATTAGTATTCCTTCTCCTAAATCTGTGAGGGCGGCTCATAAGCTGTCAGCCTAGCTCCAAAAGAAAAAGATGCCCCTCCCGCTGAACAGCCCGCTAGACCCAAGGCTGAACTTGGCACTGGCAACGAAATCAAAAATCACAGGCGAAAGGAAAAGCGTCAGAGGCCGGCCTGAAACATCCTGAACCTGTGTTAATCAACAGCCATAAGTAGCACAAGGACAAGTGAGGGCCTATGTCCCTGGCCAGGACAGAAAATTACCTGTCATTTCCCAAGTTTTCTGCTTTCTACCTCTGCAGCTTAGATCTAAAGGGAAAAAATGATTTGGTGATTCAGCGCGGACTTACTTTTCCAGCTACCAGACCGAGGAGAGTGGGGACAGGCCAAAAGAGGAGGAAGGAGCTGGGCACGTCCTGCCCGTGAGGCCCAGGCCCTGCGCTGGGCCTGTGGCACATTACCGCAGCCTCCGCAGTGACCCCTGGAGGCAGGTGTGGGTACTCCGCTTTACAGAGCTGGAAGCGGGCTCAGAGTGTTCTGGGCTGTGTTCAAACCCCCGTAAGTTAAGTGTTAGCGCTCCGGGCCGAGGACCTGAGGGTCCCGGCTCCAAGGCCGGCTCCTCCACTACGAACATGCAGCGGGGGCTTTGCGCCCCTGCCCCCTACAACTAACTGCTGTCACAGGTCCCAGCAGCTTCACTTGGACAGAGCATCTCTGTCTTCTTTACCGGTTCATTTAGAACAAACGGTGTCTCTGAACGCACGAACTAGCCCGCTTGCCACGTAAATATGGAGAAGAGGCCTCCGAGATGAATGAGAGTAAACTTTATACTTGTGCTTCTGAATTCTCATTAATATTTTCACACTGCCGTTAAAATGTTTTATCAAAATAAACTGGTGAACAGAACAATGAGTACTTTCTTTGAAAAACAGACTGACATAAACCAATATAATCCAATCTTGAAAGAGAATCTTAGTCCCTGGTAAGACGCAGCACCCTTAGGTGGCCCTGCTGCCTAGTTTACCCAGACAGTCCCAGTCCTAAGTGACTGTCCTGGTCCAACTAGCAAGGGCCAGCGTTCTCTTTCTTACTCTCAAACGTGTCTGGTTTAGGTGGCTATTCTAAGCACGTTGGGCACGGATGCTTGTTACCTAAGCGTATGTGTTACACGACAGTATCACATGTAATCAGACATATGTCACCGCATTAACCCCCAGCGGCATCTCTCCTTCCCCAGCTGTGCTGGCTCGCTAAGTCACTAGCGTGTGTCTCCGCGTCAGATGTGCTCGATGGAATGTGTGTGCACTTTGCTTCCTGACGAGCACTGACAGGCTGCATGGCAGGAAGCGCACCTTCTGGCACACTCGTCCTGAGCTGTGACAGAAGCTTGTTCTGGGTCCATCCCCACGAGGCGCGTTGGGAAACTGCAGCCGTCGCCCAAACTGCAAATAAAACAGTAATAACTTAAATCACATCGAAGCAAGTCAAAGCGGTTTTGCCACAAAGCAAAAATTAACTCCCATTTTTCAGAGGCATGGTACAAAGAAATTATCATAACTTGTCACTTCAGAGGATAATTCCTAAGGCTTCTTAAGGTCGATTAGCCTCCATTGAAAATAAACCATTCTCTCTTACAATTTACATATATTTAAAAACATATCTTCTATAATAGTGTATGCCAATTATCCCTTAATAAAAAGTTATCTCCCATGACTATGAAAAGTACGATATCTCAAACACAAGAATTCAAATATCTGGCTGACTGACCGGCTCACCACAGTCATTTAAGAAATCATAGAGGCTCGAAATGAAATTCAAGACATGGGTCCCACACGCAGGCCGCGGCCACCTTCGCGAAACACAGGTCTGGGATGCGCACAGTGTGCTGGGCGCTATCATAAGCGCTCCGGGTCTAGCAGTGAGCAGGAGAGCTCCACGCCCGCGAAGGCCACCCTCTGATGTGGGTACAGATGTGCCACATCCCTATTCTAAAACCCCCAGAGCTGTGCACAACGGGGGTGTCACTTCCGGCCAAGGCGGATTAAGCAGCAGATCGGACGCCCCGCCGTAAACCACCCGCGGCCGGGACACAGCGGCAGGCAACCGGCCTTGCAGGCACAGGGGACTGGGGTCTCCGGACCGGGTGATGGGGACAGGGCGCCGGGAACGTGCCGGGTCTCGCGGCGGTCCTCCCATGCGCCAGCGACCAGAGCGGAGGTCCAACTCCGCACCTGGCCCCACGGGGCCTCTGCCCCCACCCCCATCGGCAGACCTAAAGGTGCCCCAGGGAAAATGCACCTCCAGACCCAACTTAGCCAGGCTTGAAGCCAGCCGCAAAAAGAACACAACACACTCAACTGTCCCACGACAAGAGTCAACATTCTTTAAAGGGAAACAAGATTTTACACACTAACAATTCAAAATGTGCAGGACCCAACAGAGAATGACCGGCATGAAATGCAGCAGGAAAATGCCCTACACAACTGGGAGAAAATCAGTCCGAAAAGAATTAGAAATGACCATGAAAAGTCAAAACGAGGACTTTGAAACAGTGATTATGGCTCTGAATTAACTGGAAAAAGTGGATAAAACAAAAAGAAAGATGTAAGATATAAAAAAAGAACCAAATTGAACTTCTAGAACTGAAAAATATCATATCTGAAATGAAAAATTCACTGCATTCGCTCAACAGCAGAGTGGACATTACGGAAGAAAGGTTCACGAACTTTAAACTGCAACAGGCACTGCCCAACCCAAAGCAGAGAGAAAAAGGAGGAAGTGGAGGAGGGACAGGACAGGGTGGCCTGTGAGTCACAACCAGGCAATTTAACAGTATCTGAAAAACGAGGGCGGGGCACAGGAAGAGTGGGAGCAGGCAGCGAAAACAGCTGAGGACACGCGATGACACTTAATCAAATCTGACGAAAACTCTAAAGTCGGATTTAAGAAAAGCAGTGAACCCGGGAGACAATAACACCACAAAGAAAACCACAGCAGAGAGTATCACTATTCAACTGCCTAAAACTGCAGATAAAGACATATCTTATAAGTAGCCAGAGGGGAGGAAAAGACACAGTAGTTTACAAACAATGAGCGAGGCTGATTTCTTGTCACAAACGATGTAAGCCAGAAGATAAAGGAACCACATCTTTAAGGGGGGAAACAAAACCTGTTAATGTTGATATCTGTTCCCCAACCTTCCCGGCACCGGGACCCGGTGCCCCTATGAGAATCTAACGCCTGAGGATCTGAGGCGGAGCTGAAGCGGTGATGCTGGCGCTGGGGAGTGGCTAGTCCACCCCTCACCTCCTGCTGTGCGGCCCGGTTCCTAACAGGCCACAGACCACTACTGGTCCATGACCCAGGGATTGGGGACCCCAGGTTTAGAGAAAACAACCTTAAAAAATAAACATGTGTTCCAACCAGTCAGCATGAAAACCTTGCAATACAGAAGTCACAGGACAAAGCACGGGGGAGAGATGGGGACCTCTCCGATGGCGATGGCGATAGCACACAGAAAGCCTGACGCGCCCACGGCCGGGGCCACTGCGCGGTGGCGGGACTGCCAGCCTCGGGGAGCCCTGCAGCGCTGAGGGGAGGGGGCGGAAGAAACGGCTGAAGGAATAATGGTTGAAAAATTTCCCAAATCTGATGAAAGCTGTAAAATCACAGATGCAAGAAGCTCCACCAATCCTCAGCACAAGGAACAGGAAGGAGACCACACGGAAGGACACCATGATCAAACCGCAGGACACGAATTACAAACAGAAAACCTTCAAAGCAGCCGGAGGGAAAAGGCACATGACACGTCAGGTAAAGAAGAGAAGAGTGACTGCAGACGTCTCATCTGGAAAAAGCCAGATGGCAGGGAAGCAACGTCCAGATTTCTACAGCACGCAAAAATGTTCGAATGGAGGCGATTAGGTCATTTTTGGAAAAAAAAAATAGCAATAGTTAATTAAGGGAAAAAACCCACAACACCTGCAAAAGCGTGACTTGAATTTCAAACGGTTTTTCCTTTTCCGTAAGGACTTTTGCATGGACAGCCCAGGGCTGGGAGAAAGGGGAACTCTCATCTGGAGCACTGGTTCTCATTGAGGGGTGAGCGAAGCCTGCACTGTGTGTTGGGTCCGATTTAAGACACAACAGAACACAATCTGTGCTGGAACTTTTAATACGGTTAATAAGTACGAAATTTTATGATTCTCTGCTTCAAACAACTTATTTTCATTTTGAAGAAAAAGATTATTTTTCATGAATCATCTTTTTTCAACTTTACATTCGAATACATACCCTTTAAAAAAAAACCATAAAAAATGAAATATTATTTTTACTCTAATAAAAAAAACATAAAAAATAAAATATTTTATATAATCCAGTCTTTCTGAGATCTCATCCTCAAGGCTGGTAAGAATGTCACGTGTGCTATATTCTCTAAATCCTAAAGACACTGAACCAGAGATGTAGATCATCACAAATTCCATAATTTGAGACCTGCATTTTATAAATTACCTTGAAAATACTGGAAGTAGCCAATATTTCTTTTCATCACCAAAGACTTGTCTCCAGTTTTTACGGTATCCAAGAGAGAAACCATTTCCGTCAGGTCCGTATGAAAATGTGGGTGCGCGGAATGACTCTGTCACATGCGGACACACAAAAAAGTTCATCTATTTAAGATTATAGGAGAGATGATGGTACCAACTTGTTTTATATCTTTGACACCAAAAGCTATAAATGTAATTTAAAATAAAGGATACATTTGTAATGATTAGATTTCTGAAACATCTTGGAAGAAAAAATGTCACCTCGATATTTCATCACCCTTATAAAATGACAATGTCAGAATAACTAATATTATTGAAAGTCTACTGAAGTACGTTCAGCATGTCTTGCTCTCCTTTTTTGAAAATGCTGTAACTCTTGCAGCTTCACACATTCGTTACTTCTGAGCTTCCGATATGTGCCCGATGGCACGTGGCCAGGTGTTTGGGATCCGAGGGTAAAGCAGATGAAATTCTCACCGAGAGCCAGGTCCCACAGGACTGCAGGGTGACGGACGAGCATGCGTGGGGTGGGGGGGAAGGTGCAGCATGGAGACGCTACCTGAGCGTGACCTCGCACGGTGGATGACGGCGACCAAGCAGACGGTGGGTAAGGACCGCCCTTTCGAGCTTGGTTGTGGCGTGGTGTAGAGTGAGGGTCAGAGAAGAATTTCAGTTTCACGAAAAGTTGTTTCTTCTTTATTTAGAAATAGAGTGCATTTCAGCATGTTTTAGAAGCCAAGGATAAGAAGTGGCCAGGGAGAGACCGATGGAGACAGGTCGATGATACAGAAAAGTAATGCAAAAACTGATGAAGGAAAATTCTAGAAGAAATGGACACCTCTAGAAGAGTTCTAGAAGGGTTCTAAAGACCAGCCTCAGAAACCGGGGAAGACATCTCGCCCGGAGAAGCTGGAGGGCGACAGGGCCGGGTTTGAAAGCAGAAGCGTCTGGGCGAGCTGTCGAGGCGGGGAGGGAGAACGCGCCTACGCCGCTTCGGGCTGCTGGGAGGCTCACAGAGCGGGCGGGAGAATGGGAGAACGGAGGAGATCTGGAGTAACTACCGCGGGGAACGAGGTGGCC